TAATCTTTCCCGTCGAATAGTTGATCGGTTGATTATTAACTTTGATACGTTATTACCTAATGCTTCACCAGTAGAAATAATTAAATGCACAGCATCGCGGTCAGATATCTTGCATTGATCTAATGCAGAAAGTAATTTAGGATTCATAAAAGTTATAAGCCCTCGTGTTTTTGAAGAATATGATGAACCAGACAAATCATCTTCTGTTTCATATTCTGAGGAACTAAACAAATTTAACTCAACAACATTATCTAAACAAAAAATGATAAATGATAGAAAAATGATTGTTATTTATAAGTTTTCTTTATTACCTCGACAGAAAACACGTAAATCAATTTTGTTTTTCTACAAAACTAATAGAAAATTAAATTTCAAATAACTTTTACATGAAAATTATTTTTATAACTTTAACGGTGCATCGTATATACTTAAATTGCCGAAATATATGAATTTTACTGGTAAACATAATATGTATGAGTAGATATAGTATATACCTTTTAACACAATGTGCAATGTGCAATGTGAAAAGTGAAAGGTGCAATCGAGCGGCGGCGGCATATTAACCCAACGAAACCCAACTATGACGTGTATTGATTATAGAGGGTCTCCCTTCCTTGACTCAAGTATGTATTAAAACAGCAGACCAATTATTTACCTCTACATAGAAGGGGAGGCGATGATAAAACTCATCATAAGGTGATCATTATTNGAGGTGATGATGAAACTCATCATAAGGTGATCATTATTATGATATTAAAGTAAATAAATAAATATGTACAATATTATACTATTTCATAAGAATTGAGTTATTTTTTTAATTTTAGAGAAAATATTTATACGTTTGAAATAATATTTTATCAAATTCTTTTTTGATTATTCAGTCACACTACCGCGTTTGTTAATAGACATTAATGTGTAATCGTTTTTGTATAAAACATGTATACACATAATCTATTACATATATTTGTATACAAATATTTAGAAATCGAGAGTTTAAAATTAATTATTATGAAATTAAAGTGAAATTACTTAAGTGGTGAAGGAATGGGTTAGTATACGGGGATATGTGACCTATGATTTGCTGACCCCTCCTATGAAAATATGTGATTTTTCCGCATAAGTGAGCATGAAATCGTTGATAAAGTCACAGTGTCATCAAGAACCATCAGCTCTAAAAAGAAGACTCTACTCTATGAATAATATGGCTGCCGAACCTGTAAGAAAACAGCGCTACATTTATATCGCACCAACACCGCCAGCCGAGATGATTGACTCTAGCAGTTACACTATTGCGTTCAGCGACAGAAAATTTTTGCAAGTGGGCCTGAATCCAAAGGATGACTTCAATGTTACGGTATGCATTATTACTCCTTCACGATATATTAGTATGTCAGCGGACTATTTAAATATTATTTACGGCATGATGGACGAAATATCATTATTTCTACAATCACCTCCGGTAAAAGGAGAGAACATTGTGTTATACCAAATTGTTGATTTTAATATATCCAAAGTATTGTACCGTGATACCATGCATTTAGTATTAAAATCCAGAATAGTGGATGGATGTCAAGTGTTATTAAATAACGAAAACATTAATAGACTTATGGACTTACAGTGTACTATTAACAGTGCAATATCAAGAAAAATAAAAACACGTTTACTATTAAGCCATCAAATAGACCGCATTATACAATACGCCGACGGTAATGGTCGGGCCCTAAAATTCAACAATCAAACAATGATGAAATGGTTAATTTTATAAGAAGTTTGAACGACATGGAAATATGCGATACTATTCCTAAAGGTGACAGTAATTACATAAGCGAGCTGAAGAATTTAGCGTACAATGTAATAGTTGATCGATGGGTCAAGGCATGGTCCGAGGGCACGCTTCAAATTAATGTGAGTTTAATAAACATAGATTGTCATAACCTTTATTGTTATTAAATTTATAATTTGTTTTAGAAAAAAGAAGAAATGTATGACGAAAATGACGTTCCGGCATTTTTCGATACAACAGTGTTTACCCAAGAAAATAGTTATAGTCCATGGGCTTCACAATGGCCGAAACCCAATCACGTCAGAAAATTAACTTATATTAATAATTTATAAACAATAACTTTATATATTGTACTAGTTTCTTATAATAAACTTATAATCTAAAATAAAAAACAAAGTGTTGTTATTTGTATATAATATATTTATTTCATAATAATAATAATAATTACAAGGTTAATAATAAATGTTTACATAAACGTGTAAAAAATGTTAAAATATACGGACAGTTCCGTCAAAAGGTGTATATGTAAATACATTGTCTGAAATTACTAGAGCATATGCAGTTGTATTACCAGGGAACGCGGCTGATGCTTCAATTTCAATACGTAGGTCAAAAGACGAGACTGTAATTGTATCGTTCTGCTTTGACATGTCGATTACGGCAATAGGTATTAAATTAAGAAATTGTTTTTTATTTACTAAAGGCGAACACCAAGGTCTGTCATAATAACTCTTTTGAAAATTAACATAGTAGGAAAATAAAATACTAAATAGCTTACAGTCAAAATTACATCTTAAATCGATGTACGGGTAAACTTCTGAATTTAAATGAACTTTAAGATTTGTTAAATTACAGTGATCGAATTCAGACATTTATTTACTTTCACTATTTTTACGGTCTGTTTGAAACCCTACTATAACATAACGAGGTCTTTAAAAATTATTACATGTTTTAACGGTCCACGAAAACGATTTGTTTTGTGGTACAAACGGNTTTTGAAAATTATTACATGTTTTAACGGTCCACGAAAACGATTTGTTTTGTGGTACAAACGGATATTCACACAGTTCCCAATTTCTATGGGCGCAATGTATAGGCTTTTTACTATCTAAAACTCTAAGTAATTTTAATTGTTCCTTTTCGGTCACTTTGACGATTGGCATATTCCATACAACTTTTGTTAGTTTAATTGATACTGTAGACAGTTTTTCTTTTACTGTGGTACTCGTATCTAATAGCTTGACAACCTCATTATCATCAGAAGTTCCCGTGCTGCATTTAAGTTTTTCAGAGGACTCGTTCACATTGAATAATTTGATTACGTTTATGTCTGATGAACTCCTCGTACATATTAATGATTGTGTACAGTTTAAGAGTATTTTTTTATAATCTTCGGCAAACCCTAGTATATGCGATAGCGGTATAATCCCAGAAAAATATGTACAGTCGAAAAAGTCTTTATTGTCTTCAGTAGTAATGTCCCATGCCGCAGTGTGTAGTTCGTTAATATCAGCGGGGCTATATGAGCAATAGCCTTTCAAAGTAGATGTAATGCTCGGGTTGCGTATNCAAAGTAGATGTAATGCCCGGGTTGCGTACTTTTTGTATTTGAGTACCGTTTATTTCATAACGTATTTCAGAAAATAAATATGCGAGTCCGTTGTTAATAAATCTAGGACTGGACTTCATACCATTAGGTTTTTTCACTTCACCTTCCAAGTACAAATAACTAGCACTTGGTAAAGTGTAACTANGTACAAATAACTGGCACTTGGTAAAGTGTAACTGTCCATGTTGCGAATTTCAAATCGTATTTCATCATTTTTACCTAGCGCAGTGGAGCTATACGGCAAAAATGATTGTACCTGTTGACTAATTATTTTACACTGATCGACATAACTTTCCGTCACATCTAAACATAAATCGTCCATAATTTCAAAGAACGTTTAACAATTTTAAAAACGATAAATTACGTTTGCTAATAGACTTATTCGTTTTTTCTTTTAGCGGTGATTTTCTCGCGGATTTCTTTTTAGGTAAATATGATGTTGTCTCTGTTCTGGATGACTGTGAACTACGTATTGGCCGACGAACACTTGAATATATATTATTATTAAACTTAAGAGCCATGGTTCTATGTACGAATGTGAAGGCGGAGAGTTAAAGTTTCCCCTCTCAAATCAACTATTTTACCAGATTGAGACCGTAATGTAACTTCAGCGTTGTATACGGTGGTTGTGTTTAGCGGATAATAAACTAACGATTTAGGAACTTCTATAATTTTGTATCCTGCTGGGACAGAAGGAAAAAATGCATGGATCGCTTTGCTTGATTGCCCATTATCATATGAACCGGTCGCTATATTACACTCGACATATATAGTATTAACTTGTAAAATATCAACAATGTTTGTTGAAACATGACGTATATTCGGTGCATAAACTTGTTCATTAAAACCTAATAACCGCGCGATATTATCGGTTACCGTAAAATCAATAGCATTACTACACGTCAGAGCACTTTTCAATGTAACTTCGTCAGGTTCTAAAGAAAACGATTGAACGTATGGTTCCAACAATTTTTTTATTACGGTNGAACGTATGGTTCCAACAGTTTTTTTATTACGGCTTCTAACTGCGCCAATTCGTATGATCCCGTCGGTATTGTAATTTGTGTTGTTACACCCTCAGAGTCTTGAACTCCGATTTTATTACAGTCAGTTGTAATATTAGGTATTGAGTTATTAGTATACAAACTCAAAAGACAAATTTCGGCACCCTCTTCAAATTCCAAAGGTGGGTAAAAACTACAACTCAATTGTGACGAATTACCGCTCAACATTATTGTAGCCGATTTCATAATTTTCGACTTAGAAATGTTAGGCATAAATGACCGCAGTTTATCGATCTATCAGCCTGGTACCGTAAATAGTTGTAATTTACGGTACACCCGTTAAAATATTTCTGTAACTCTAGCGGTGGAGCCAAATCACCGTAACTATCGAAATAATGTACTGTATTGTTATTTTTTCTATAGCACGTCCAATGAGTACCTGGCTCGTTTTGTTTGCTTAAATTAATAACTGCACTCTCGTTTTTTAAAGGACGTACCGGCAATGTGTCTCTGCTAAAGACCCTTCTAAAATGAGGTATTTTCAATAAATTTGCATATTTTATAATTTGATAGTCATATAGAGCAGTCTTTGGCAGATTTGATATTAATTTTTTGTCTTGGGCGGTGATAAAAATAAACCGGCACCGTTCTTATAAGGTTTAAGGTATAAACCTTTGCCGAGTTTTACTGTAGATTTTTTATCGCTTGCTTCTCTCGCGTCCATGATTGAACGTATAATACTACCCGCCCCGCCGGTTAGAGATCCTAACGCTGATAAAGCGGCAAAAATAGGAATAAGAGGAAGCGCTCCACCGGATTTCGGCACTGGTATTACACGTGGCGTGGGGGAAATGCTACCACGACGAGTTTTTTTGCGTGCAGCGGTCAACGCAATTTTTATTAATTTTGTAATATCTTTGCCTGCTGTCTTTTTATGTTTCTTAATAGCCTTTTTTGCTTCAGAAACTATAGTTTTAAAACCACAACCCATTCCGATTTTACGTTTTGCTTTCATGGCGTTGGTAACTAGGTATGCTGCAGCCCGTTCTTTAAATCCAGAGTCCTTTGATTTAACAATGTCCCAAGCCCCGTGTTCTAATACTTCGTCTGCCTTATGTCTTTCTGCAGTCGAATGATGTTTATCGTAAAAAATGTCGTGAGATTTGCAGAGTTCGTCGAGTTTGTTTACCCCCACGTCGCCCCTTGCTAAACGTTCTTTTAACCGGGTGCCGGGACCACAGTAATTATAACCTTTGAGGTGTAATTCTATAGGTAATTTATTTAAGAGCGTATTGAATAGACCGACACCACTTTTAGACTTGTTGCGACCGTGACGAGACATCATTTGATCAGTTTACTGTCCTGATAAACTATTTATAGTGGAAAACATGAAGTTTATACAGCAAAGTGTTAAACTCCCCGTGATAAACGCAGATACTGAAAATAATGACAATAAACCTCCCCGACACGGCACTTTATTTCCAAACTCTATTAGAGCGATTATTGCGGGACCGTCGGGCTGTGGTAAAACTAATGTTTTATTTTCTTTACTAGTCGCTGAAAACGGTGTCAAATTCAAAAATATTTACATATATTCAAAAACTCTTGATCAGCCAAAATATCAAACGCTTAAGGATATTATAGAAAGTATACATGGAATGCAAATATTCATGTTTCATGAAAACGACACTGTAATTAGCCCTGAAGACGCATTGCCAAATTCAGTTTTTATATTCGACGACGTAATAACCGAATCTCAAGAAATTATAAGAACCTATTTTACTCGAGGCAGACATAATAACATTGACATATTTTATTTAACACAATCGTTTAGTTATGTAGGTAAACAATTGATACGGGATAACGCTAATATGCTTATTCTATTCAAACAAGACGAAACCAATATACGGCATATATATTTTAATAATTGTTCAGGGGACATGACACTTAACCAGTTTCGTGAATTTTGTCATTCATGTTGGAACGATAGTAAATTTAGTTTTGTAGTAATTAGTAAAGATCATCCGCGAAATGAAGGCAGGTATCGTAAATGTTTCGATACTGTCGCAATAATATAATGTCGTGTAATAACGGGACTTTGTCAGTAACCGATTAACAATGGCCGGAGAATCTAATAACGAAATATTGAGACAATTAGCCGAGGCCAAGCATAATATTAAATNATATTGAGACAATTAGCCGAGGCCAAGCAAAATATTAAACGAAAATTCCAATCATTGCAAAACGATGATGTTACTAATGAAGTTTACATGAAACGTACATTAAAACCCATTATTGAACCTTTAAACGAGTTAACAACACTTCAAAAAGAGAAAACATCGCATATTTCAAATTTTACTAATAAATTTGATAATAATAACGAGTATTTAAAATATGAACAAAACCATGATGGTAACAATTATAAAAACGATGAAAATAATTCTATAGTAACTGAGCTGCATAATCAAAGCTATAATGTTGAAGACACTAATTCTAGTGGATATTCTGAAAACCAAATATTTTCTATGATGGACTCGGTTGAGGCATGGTTAGTTTATCATGACGGGGACAAAGCGTATGCACCGAAAAAACACGGGGATATAATGAAATTTGGTGATAAAATTGTTCAGTTTAATTATAAAACAGCTCAGCTGATCATAGAAAATAATAAATATCAATTAACCCCCGGTCTAATACAGTTAATATTTTCAAAACGGCCTAACGCATACGGTAAAAATGACTTGGATGTCTATAGAGACATTCTAGTTCATACTTCTGCGCACTTAACAACGAATAAATTAAAAATTAAGAAAACAATTTCTACAAGTATAAAGAAGTTATAAGTAAATTGTTTGTCGAGAGCAGAGGTCTTGAGTTGTCATTGAATACATCGAATAACTATAAATATTGGAATAACGCAGACGAGCTCTGCAACCGTCTTAGATTACTATTGGCTTCGCGGGCAGCAGACAATAATGCACATGGTAATGAAATTATATCAATTTATGAAGAATTATACGAGGCGGGCATAATTAAAAAAATACCAAATGTTTAAAAGACAAATTGCGGAAGAACTACATAGACCTAGACGAATACATTACGATAGACGTAGTGTTGTACTTAAAAGCCGTGATGATTAATTTCAGATCGATTTAGCTGAATTTATACCATATCATAGACAGAATAAAGGCTATAAATATATTTTGTTTGCAATTGATTGTTTTACAAAATATTCATGGGCAGTACCCCTAAAATCAAAAAGAGGAGCTGATATAGTGAAAGCAATAGAACCTATACTTGCAAAACGTAATATCGTTCACGTACAGAGCGATTTGGGTAAAGAATTCTATAACTCAAAATTTTCAACTCTTATGAAAAAATACAACATAAATCATTACTCGACGTATAGCACATTAAAAGCGTCAATTTGTGAGCGATTAATTCGAACCATCAAGATCAAATTATATAGAGAGTTTACCNCAAGACCAAATTATATAGAGAGTTTACCGCTCAAGGATCACACAATTGGTTATCTATATTAAACAAAGTTATGCACGAGTACAACAACAGCGTGCATAGAACAATAAAGATGACTCCTACGTATTCCGATAAAAATCCTTCGGCAGTGGTTATACACAGTTCTGTACATAAAACGAAACAAAAAATTAAATTTCGTAGAAGTGATTATGTAAGGGTTNAATTTCGTAGAGGTGATTATGTAAGGGTTAGTTCTAACAAGGCCGTATTTGAAAAAGGCTATTTGAGTAATTGGTCTTTTGAAATATTTACTATAGCAAAGGTATGCAACACTATACCAGTCACATATCTTCTCGANGTATGCAACACTATACCAGTAACATATCTTCTCGAAGACTTTGAAAAAAATCCAATTAGAGGGTGTTTTTATGAACAAGAATTACAAAAAACCAAGTATCCACATAATTATCTGATTGAAAAAATTGTGCGACGTAAAGGAGATAAAGTATTGGTTCGTTGGATGGGTTTTCCTTCAAAACATGATTCATGGATGAATAAAAATGAACTTGAAAAATAAATAATTTTAATATTATTGTAAGATATTAATGTAAAAAAATGTATAATATGCACTATTTATTGTATTTTTTACTCCATATAATAAAGTATTAATATATATTTAAATATGGATATTTATTTAACCTTAAGGTGACATATCCCCTCTACCTAACTTTAATTAAACTGTGTGTAATTACTTTTTAAAATACAAAAAAAAATCATCCGAGCAGAATAAAATCAGCAAAACTAATAAAATATTTTTAGTTCACTCGTAAACGTTAACAGTAATGGATGTTTTTGGTTCATCATTAGAAAGTAAAAGAATAAAAAAAATATGCATACTAGAGTCTAAATTGGCTGAATTAGAAACAGATATTATAAAAATTACTGAAACGCTTAGTAATTATAAGAAAATAATTGAACAAATAAATGTACAAATACACGGAGTAGAAGTTAAAATTGAAAATTTAAATACTAATTTTAACGCAACAGATTCAACTTCTAAGTTACAATATAGTCATATAGAAGAACAGATTAATAAAATTAAAGGTTTTGTAAAATACGAAGCCTATACTGACTCCAGTGTACGTTAATTCAAAAAATAAAACGCCCTAGAACAAGATCCGTATCCTCAACGCACTAGTTAACAAACTAAATAATGACTACAGCAATAGCAGATTTTGACTGTATATTGGGATCGAATAACGAGTATCTTATAAAAGAACTATCTGTAGTGGATACTGACACTTATGCTACACAACACTGGATATTTAAACATGCAACTCCAACAGATGAAAAAAGTCGAAATGTTAACGCGTGGTTGAAAAAGCATAGACATTCAATGCAACCTCAGTACGGAGACGTAGAAATTGAAGAACTACCGAGAATTTTAAACTCGTTAAAATTTACAGACATATTTGTAAAAGGGTTACAAAAAAGAGACATTTTACAACAGTATATGCCACACGTAAATGTCATTAACATGGAAGATATTGGCTGTCCTCGTATAACACAACTGGCAACAAATAGTTCTTATCCATCATGTTTATTTCATATGAATTTAAATCCAACTTATTGTAGTTTTTATAAAATGTTTATGTTAAGACATTGGTATATTAATAATTCTTAGTACTTAAAATATTGTTATATTTCACTATAATTAAATAATGTAGTCAAATTGTATAATATTTTTAAAATAAAACTTATAAGTAACATATAACATGTTTGTTGTTTATTTACCCAAAAATTCATATATATGAATAATACTATTATACTGATTGAGGAATGTGCCATAGATTATTGTATGTAACGTTATACGTGTAAGAGGGTGATGTATTAGCTATGAACAGGCATAGTTCAATAAGCATAGTTTTTTATTACTATATGAGTCGATTAATCAATTATTTATATTTTAACCAAGGTTAATTTTTTTTTTATTTAATATAATTTCAACAATACATTTTTGTACATAATAATAATAATATTGTTTACTAATAAATTTTTGTAATCTGTTTATTATTTTTACATTAGTTTATAAGATGTATCTACAAATCTTAAGTTTCAATGCTGTCTTCATTCCTAAAAAATAACACTATTTAATATATATTTAATAATTATTAGCATAATTATGGTATACGTACTCTAGTTTATAATGACCGTAAGCGTAGGTAGTAATACGGTCTTCTGATATAACCCGCTTATCATCTAAACGGTTTAATGTCATTTTCATAGTCTTAATGGTGTATATTTGGTGTTGAAATGATCTGATTGACACATTTTCTCTGTATGGTGTATAAGTCGGGTACTTTACAACGGGGCAATAAGGGTCCACGGCTCTCTCATGAATATTGTTTACAACCATCATGCCATATATAGCCGCTTTTGCATGAGCCTCGCTTACTGCAGGCTCCTCTTCAGCATACAAACACCGTTTCAGGTCCTCGACTGTAAGATGATTTTTCACAACGTGATTACGTATCCCTTTCGCCTTAATTTTTTCTTTACCCTCCAAGTCAAAACCATAACATTTTGGTCTTAGACTAATAAACTCCAATATAGATTTCCCCGGCGCTTCGTCACTCCACAAACCAGGCACCTTTTTGTTAGCGTTTGAATAACACGGGTGACTGCTCGGCAAACCTGAAGTGTCAAGTCTAGCCAATAGATCAGGATTTTTCTTTGCCACCGCGTAAAAGTCATCACCCACGATAAAGTACACTAATGAATCTAAACAATAAAATCAAAAAATAAAATCATTAAATTTTTTCAATAAAAAATATTAATTAATCTACCTGTGTCACCGTATAACAGTCGAGCACGGTCTTTGAAATATTTCTTCATTACGTTATAATGGAAATCGTATACGAGAGTTTTACTAATTTCTAAAATTGCGAAACCTACGTATACTGGTTTACAAAAATCGATAATTTTCTTTTCCAATACAAACGCTGATAAATTTTCACTGTACGTTGTACAATGTTTGAAATTATGCTTTCTAATTAATTTAGCCGCTCGTTTAGGATTATTGACCAATTCCATTTGCGTTCTAAATTGTACACGTTCCATCATTTTACCTGTTAACAAACGAAATCGCATTAAAATTATGTTTATATATATTTTTATTTAATTTTAAAACTTACCAAAAACAGCGTTGTTCATTAATTTAAAAAAGTCTTTTTCAAAATCATTTTTGGCTTTCTGTCTCATCTCCGTGTTGAGTTGTATATATTTTGATAGCCAGGCCGACTGCTTAAATTGTAACACCTTATGCACCTGTAATTTAATGACATGTTATTATTATATTTTTAAAATATAATTTTATGAATTACCTTTTCTACTTTTAATCCGTTTGCCATAGCCTGTTTTAAATTTAAATAGTGTATAACGTAGTTTTCTTTCCGATCGAAAGTAGACAACAGTTTTTTGACCCGTGAATTAGGCGGACATTTTCGTTCAGGTAGAAACGGCATTTCGTTGTGGGCATCATGTAACTCTTTCGGGTACGACACCGTCACTTCAAGGGCCATTCCTATAGGAGAATCCGCAGGTAACTCTTCCACAGTCTTTAAAATTTTCGTTTCGTCGTCCACGTC